TAATTGCATCAGGTGAACTGCACTGGGCCCATTTTACTGCTAGGCGTTTATTTACGTCACTATCACGACGATGCAGAAGTTTTTCTCCATGCGGATTCACCTGATGCGATTAGGAAACACTGCATTGAATGAGGTATTTATAGGTGTTCCGCTGATATGAAAGGTGAGTATAGACGAATCCAAAGAACTAGCTTACAACAGAGAGGGGACTCGTAATGCCGCAGTACGTGGCTCAACCAGGGTGTGCGTCATGAGATCCTTAGAGTCGAGCACAACGGGCACGAATGCCATCGGTGGTCACACAACGCCACCTGCTGTCCCGCGCAGCAGCAACCTAAATCTCCTGGTCTGCATCCACAGTGATCCTTTGTCAATTCATATGCTATGCGGGCATTAATACCTAGGTATATAGTGGTTTCGAATAACCTTAACAGGCTCCTGTTTTCTATGAATTTCGAAGTGTTTTCAGTGGCTTTGTTACTCTTTAAACGAAATTTTGAGAATTTTCCAGGTGTGCCGGCGAGATTGCAGCTGCTCGTGATAACGGAGTATGTGGTGTGGGAGTGGCATATGACAGCAAAGTAGCCGGAATTCGCATGCTTGATCAGCCATACATGACCGATCTTATTGAGGTGAGCGATGCAGCACTAAAATCTGCTTTTATTCAATCGTAGAACCTTTATGCAGGATAACTCTCGCAACCAGAAAATAGCATCGGGAATTGGTGAACTAGTCACAATGACCTCGTATCAGGAAATCCTTGCAAAACCCCCTCCTAAAATCTACCTATACAGAAGTTTCTAAAAATTCCACGACTAGATGATAGGCACCGCCGCTGCGCTGTTTGAGGAAGTAGTTTTGCTGCACAGGAGAAAGAGAAGAAATTTTCCAGAACTTCCCTTTTTTGAAATATCTGACAGCCTTATTCATTCTATTTTCTTGTAATATTGAGTAAAAAATGAAGTTGTAAGCTCAATGATGTGGCAGAAACGGTACGAAAATAATAATCGGACTGACTTTTCAGGCTAACTCGATGGGCCATGAGCCGAACAAGATCCACATCTATTCGGCAAGTTGGGGACCCACGGACGACGGGAAAACTGTTGACGGACCACGAAACGCCACAATGAGAGCAATCGTGAAAGGAGTCAATGAGGTGCCAGAACGAAATCTTACTTGTTTTCTTCTTAAGAACACCCGATTCTTTGGATCGTTACCAGACTGGAGGCACAGTTTGCGATTATTGGCGCTGTGCTCAATTTACCCATCGTTTGGTAGTGTCTGACCATTGCAGCCCAGTGTATCGCCGCCTCTAACATCTATAGACCGTCGTGGGCAGTTCGATGGCCAATATCACTTGCAAACAGAAGAGCCTTATGCAGAGCTTTTCGTCTTGTCCCTTTTTTGGCTTTCAGAGAAGCTATAACTACACTTCCCTTTTTGTACTTCCCTGCCTACCGCTTGCAATCGGGAAAAGTGCCTCTAACGAGTAGAGCATCA